AGCCTTACTGAAATCTAGGTAAGCAATGTCTACTGCACCACCCAGATCTATAATTTTAGTTATCCAATCATGATGACTGCAAGAGCACAGCGCAGACTGCTCAATGAGGTGAAGAAGAATCCTAGAGTGTCAGCTAAAGACTTACAAAAGTCACTGGCAAATGCTAACATCCCTGTTAGCGAATCTACAATACGTAAAACACTAAACAAGAATGGATTTCATGGGAGGATACCACAGAGGAAGCCACTGCTGTCCAAACAAAACATTGCTGCACGTTTACAGTTTGCACAAGAGCACCTGGATGTTACACAGCAGTACTGGCAAAATATTCTGTGGACAGATGAAACCAAAGTTGAGTTGTTTGGAAGAAACACACAACACTATGTGTGGCGAAAAAAAGGCACAGCACACCAATATCAAAACCTCATCCCAACTGTGAAGTATGGTGGTGGGGGCATCATGGTTTGGGGCTGCTTTGCTGCGTCAGGGCCTGGACGGATTGCTATCATCAAAGGAAAAATGAATTCCCAAGTTTATCAAGACATTTTGCAGGAGAACTTAAGGCCATCTGTCTACCAGCTGAAGCTCAACAGAAGATGGGTGTTGCAACAGGACAATGACCCAAAGCATAGAAGTAAATCAACAACAGAATGGCTTAAACAGAAGAAAATACGCCTTCTGAAGTGGCCCAGTCAGAGTCCTGACCTCAACCCGATTGAGATGTTTTGGCATGACCTCAAGAAAGAGATTCACACCAGACATCCCAAGAATATTGCTGAACTGAAACAGTTCTGTAAAGAGGAATTGTCAAGAATTACTCCTGACCATTGTGCACGTCTGATCTGCAACTAGAGGAAACGTTTGGTTGAAGTTATTGCTGCCAAAGGAGGTTCAATCAGTTATTAAATCCAAGGGTTCACATACTTTTCCCACCTGCACTGTGAATGTTTACATGGTGTGTTCAATAAAAACATGGCAACATTTCATTCTTTGTGTGATATTAGTTTAAGCAGACTGTGATTGTCTATTGTTGTGACTTAGATGATGATCAGATCACATTTATGACCAATTTGTGCAGAAATCCATATCATTCCAAAGGGTTCACATACTTTTTCTTGCAACTGTGTATGTATGTGTGTGTGTGTGTGTGTGTGTGTATATATATATATATATTAGTGTTCAAGTAGAGATTGTAGCCGTATTAGGCCAGTGATGTAGATGTAAAAAACAGATACAATGTGTAGCTTGTAATACCTTTTTTATTGGACTAACAGAATTTTTTAATGACAAGCTTTCGGGAGAACCTCCCTTTCTCATGTCTGAAGCATTTCTTAGCAAGACGACACATAGAATTCAAAGTTGAGTTGTGATACAGGGGTTAAAGCAACATGAGTGTAGATAAGACACAGGTTTGTTAGAAAATAGACACCATCTTAGCAGAGGGTCATAAATATATTTTTGAAGAGCAGAGTGAGGGGGAAGAGAGGGAAAAGAAAAGCAAACAAGCAGACCGTGTACCATTCTCTGCACTGTCTGCTTGTTTGTTTTTTATCTGATAGATATATAGATATAGATATAGATATATATATATATATATATATATATATATATATATATATATATATATATATATATAGATATATATTCTCTAAGTTTATAAATTAGTAACTGGAGCAGGATAGTGGAGTGCAGGGAAATGTTGGTGTGTGAATGCAGATAAGAAGGGGTTAAATTGCCAGCCAGGTGTGAAACGTTATGAGCCACCTCAAATGCTTGTGTACAGTATTTTATTTTTTATTTTATTTTTTATTCGGGTACAAACACACACAACTTCAGTTTGTATGTATGCCGGAGCATATTTGTATGTAGTTTGTGTAGATACAGGTGCACATATATGGAGCAGTTCAATGTTTTTGAATGTAGGACATGTCTGGATGTTTGATGTGCTTAAAGGTGCGTAGGTGTGTAGTAGGTCAAGGTGTTTTTGTGAATGCAGGGGTGTTTGTGTATGGTTTGCACTGTATGGGTGAATAAAGTGGTGAATTTGTATCCCTCATTGTCTGTAGTCCATTCCCATCTCCAATAGCTAGTAGCCCATTACTGCCCCATAGCTTGTAGTCCATTTTTCTCCCCTATTTCTCATAGGTAGAAGCCCAGTCTCTGCTCTCTGTAGTTAGTTGCCCATCCCCCCGTAGTTAATAGCCTATGTTCCTCCTCTCCCCCGTAGATAATACCCAAACCACTTCCTCTCTCCCATAGATAGTACTACATTCTCCTCTTGGCCTTGATTTTTCTCCTTAACCCATTCTCCCCCATAGATAACACTCAAGTCCCATTCCCTCATAGAGAGTACCCCAATTCCCCCCATAGATAGTACCCCAATCCCTCTCCCTATATATACACACAGTACCCCAATCCCTCTTCCCATATACATATACAGTACCCCAATCCCTCTCCCCAACCCTCCTATCATAGTTGGTACCCCAATCCCCCTATAATAGATAGAACCCTAATCCCTCTCCCCATAGATGGTACCCCAATCTCCTCTAAACCCATTCCTTTAGAGAGGTACAGATTCTCCTGATTTCCCCCACTCTAGCCCTGTCACAGTCATTGATAATGAGGACCTTACCTGTACCTGATGTAGAGCTTCATGAACTCAGCGTGCTGCCTGTACTGCTTATCATTGCAGCTCCGCACAGCTTGTGCTGCCCTTTCACTCATGACGTCACTTCCCCCAGAATGAGCCGCACGAAGCTGCTCTGATCAGTACATCAGGCAGAACGAGTGCAAGTCCGCATGGCTGCATTCCAACCCCCGATAGAGGCTCTGCTCATAGCGCCGCTGTCAGCTTTATTAGAGGCAAGACCAATTTTTCAATGTGTATCTGCGAGCTGTGTCGGCCGCTCTCGGTGCATTGTGCGGCCGCACGGCTCGCCTCACACAATCCTAAGGCTGGCCGTGACTGCATGTCGGCCTCAGGTGCCACTGCCCACCGGGAAATTTCCCGGTATCCCGGTGGGCCATTCCTGCCCTGTTCCACACTAAAGTGCGATTATCGACGCTATAGACTGGATGTATGGGAAAGCTTTAAGTGGTTAGTCAACTGCCCAGTGCCCAGTCACTTTTTCCTTAGAAAAATAAGTGACTTTTCTTCAGTGTGAAAGAAACCATTCCCTATCATCTTCTCCCAGCTGTGTCTGTGGAGGTAACAAGCACCACAAGATTCATTAAGGCAGGGCAAAACCCCAGTGAAAGGCATTTGAAATACAGGGGGAAGGAGAAGCAGGAGGAAGATTGCAATATTGTTGCAATTTAGTCATTTATTTATATTTCGTATTATTGCTTCAATTTACTGGTTGATTTATTTGTCAGTGGTGCAATGTATTAAGTCTGCCAGTTTTTTTCACCTGTTGCTTATTTTGTGCCTAAACTGAACTTTGGAAAATACACCATTAATGAATATACAAAAATCTTATGTGACACATTTATCAGTTTTTTCCACAGACTGAAAAGTATTCTGGATCACTTTAATAAATATGATGACAGAAATAACCATTTCTTTTCACAACACTTTGATAAGTATCCCCCTACGTGTCTATCATTGACAATTAAGCAATACAAATAGATCTCAGCTTCCCATAACATAATTGTGGAAGCACTAGTTACATGTTCTTCATGGCTTCCAGATTGGCCAGATTTTAATTAAGAAGAATGTAACCCTCATCCAGTGGCATGCACACAATCCATGGGATCTGTGGACCCCCCCACTCCCCTCTACCCTCCCACCCCCTCTACCATGACCCTCTCCCCCCCCCGACCCTTTCTCCCCTGACCGTGGGCCCCCCTGACACATACATACAGACACAAACACATACACACAGACAGGCACACACACCCCTGACAGACACATACAGACACATGCAGACACATACATAAAGAGACACAGACACACATACAGACACACACATACATACACACACACATACACATATCCCCGCCCCTGTCTCCCATACTCTCACCCATGCGGCATGGCTTCAATGTGAAGGCAAGATGTAGGAGTAACAAGCCAGCTCCCCAAGCAACACACTGAGGTAGGACCGCAGGAAAAAATAAATAAATAAAAGAATAAATGTAAATTCCTTTTGTTGTTGTTTTTGCTGGAGGGAGAAAGTAAGTGGTTTGGATAAGACTGGCAAAGAAAAGGTGGAAATGGGAAGAGATGAAGAGATCCCCTACCCCCCTCCCCTCATCCACTCCACCCCTCCCCATCCACCCTGACCCTTTCCCCCACTCTACCCTGACCCTCTCCCCCCGACCGTGGTCCCCCGACACATACATACAGACAGTAACACACACCCCCGACAGACACATACATACATACATACACACACACATGCAGACACACACATACAGATACACACACACACACATAGAGACACAGACACACACACACAAAATGTTTCCTACCTTTTGTGACTTTCCCTGGGGTCCAGTGGTGGCTCAGCCTGATGGGAGTCAAAGTTTCCTCTCTGACTCCCTCCTCTTTCCTGCTTCCTCCTGCGCAGCTCTCTGTATGCTGGGAGGAGTGACCGGGGAGTCACTTCCTCCCAGCAGTGATGTCCTCACAGGGGGCCCAGTCGCGCTGTTAAAGCACCTAGTGCTGATTGGGCCCCCTGACAATCCATATCCTTTGGGTGGTCCTGACAGCATGGGCCACCCGATGGACCCCTTAACATGCGGCCCCGGCGGTTTGCCGCGCGGGGCCACAAAACATGGCAGCTGGTACCCAGTAGTAGGGGTCCGGAGGCGGCCGGGCCCCCTGGAGTGACGGGCCGGTCGCAGCTGCGACCCCTGCAACCTTGATATGTACGCCGCTGCCCCCATCATGCTCTTACAGCCACAATGCTGGCAAAGCATCAAGGGAGATGTAGTCCACAACATCTGGGGTGCCAAAGGTTGCCTACCCCCCAGTCCATTTATACCTGAGTGCAGAATATCCACCTCTCTAAACCCCGGTGTTCAGTGTGCTGGATTTACCGGAGACTTCATTTATACCACATTTAGGGAGAAAAGGAATCTACACTGTCAAGTCTGCTGACAAATCATTCACGAACACAAAGGAAAAACTAAACTAGATGAGAAGACTCACTTATACAGCAGGGGCCAGCATTTCTATAATCAGAAAGCCATTTATATAATGATCACTCACAACAGTGAATATTAAGACCGTGGTTATAAATGCCTTCACAGCTGTAGTGAGTAGGTCTTAAAGAGTCTGTCAGTTTTTCCATTTATTAAACAAACCCAAGTACATAAATGTTGCTGTTTTTCCTTTTAAATTTACAAAAAGATGATTAAATAGAATGATTCAACATGGTAGACGTATCGTGTACAGATGATTCACTACAAACTTATGCTTTGAGTTGTTTCATTTTCAGTGTTACCACCCCTCCCACCCCCCTCCCCTGAGTATGCAGTACAGTAGGCTATTAAAAAAACTTGTTTTATATATTATTTTCTGTCTTGATTCAGCTTAACAGAAAATGTAGAATCTGTTTTTCTTTGTGTAATGTTCTGCGATTTCCTGCCCAATAACATTTTAATTAAAGGGATACTATAGTGCCAGGAATACAAAGTTGTATTCCTGGCACTATAGCTCCCTCTGACATACCCAACCCCCTCCCCATGCATTGGTGAATTGGTGAATACAGGGTGAAAAGCCCTTTAATTATTCACCTGATCCCAGCACCGATGTCTCTCCAACGTTACTCGACAAATTGGCGCTAATACACATGCGTGTCGAGGGCTGCACGCGCATTAGGCCCTCCCTATAAAAAAAACATTGAATCAATGCTTTCATATGGAGAAATAGTTTATGCTTGATGTCCTCATGCACAGCGTGAAGACGTCCAGCATCAGTTACTGAACCAAAAGTCTGGTAACATTCTGGAAGCGCCTCAAGTAGCTGTTTGGCAGATAGCCACTATACAGTGGTAGATAGCCACTAGAGGATGTTTTAGTGTTGCAATGTAAACATTGCAGCACTAAGTGGAATAGTGACACTGTACCCAGACCACATCAATGAGCTGAAGTGGTCTGGGTGCCTATAGTGTCCCTTTAAGGGTTTTAACTGATTTAGATGGTTATCTGAAGTTTAGTTTTGTTCAAAAAGCAGGTCTCATTGCTGAGTATCTGGGAATGGACATGAATGGACATGAACGTAAAGGAACACTCCAAGCACCATAACAACTGCAGTGTGCTATTTTTCTTGTGCCAAGAGTACCTAGTACCCTCCATAGTCCAACCATTTTATAAATGGTTTCACAACTTACCTGGGTTCCGCTAGGCACCAGTCACCTTTTCGAAGTGGTGCAGAGCTTAGCTCATGTGCTAAGAGAGCTCCGCTGATGCTCTCAGATTATGAACCGGCCCTGCACTTAGGTTAGTGGATATGCAGGAGACTGTTACCAGTATACAGCAGGCCCCACGTAAGTTGTCAAACAGATTTAAAGGACCACTATAGGCACCCAGATCACTTCAGCTTAATGAAGTGGCCTTGGTGCCAGGTCCAGCTAGGGTTAACCCTTTTTTCTATAAACATAGCAGTTTCAGAGAAACTGCTATGTTTAAATTAGGGTTAATCCAGCCTCTAGTGGCTGTCTCACTGTAATTTTTCAGTGAGAAGACGCCAGTGTCCATAGGAAAGCATTGTGAATGCTTTCCTATGGACTGGCTAATTGCGCGTGTGGCTCCTGCCGCGCATTCACATTCAGCGGAGGAGGAGGCGGAGAGGAGGAGGAGAGCTCCCCGCCCGTCGCTGGAGAAAGAGGTAAGTTTAACCCCTTCCTCACCCTGGAGCCCGGCGGGAGGGGGACCCTGAGGGTGGGGGCACCCTCAGGGCACTACAGTGCCAGGAAAACTAGTATGTTTTACTGGCACTATAGTGGCCCTTTAAATGCTTTGACTACTTACCATGGAAAGGCACTTGGGAACTCCTGTCACCATATTTACTACAGTGTGCTGTAGTGGTTAAAGTGGTTGGAGTGTTTGCCCTGGTCTTAAGCCATATAGTTAGGATGAAGATACCCAGATGTAGAATGGACCCCTAAAGAACACAAAAGTTGTAGCTACTGTATAAATTAGCTGAAATGAGCAGAGCAGGGTTAACCCTGCTGTCCCAACGTTGCCTCCACGCATTATTATTTTACTAACCTAATAAGCTTTGAAGCTATTCACATAAACAGACATGGTTCCTCTCCTGTGTAGATGGATTAACCCCTGCCACCCCATCACCGTCAGCCCCTGTAAAAAGCTCATTTTCTAGCACTATGCACACTCTAAAAACAGTCATTCATATGTCATAGTGCATTATTCCCTCCCTAATTTATGTTCTAAATTAAATTTTTGTTACATAAAATTTCATTTTACATTTTAGTTACATAAAAAAGAAAGTTACAGAGAAACATAAAATGTGATGGCAGATAAGAACCATTTGACCAATTTAGTCTGCCCAACTTTTTTATATTTTAATTTGTCCTTGGCTTTGTCTTATATCTAGGATAGCCGTATGCCTACTCTACGCATGCTTAAACTTCCTCACTGTGTTAACCTCTACCACATCAGTTGGAAAGCTATGCCATACATCCACTACCCTTTCAGTGAAGTAATACTTCCTGTTATTATGTTTAAACCCTTACCCCTCTAATTTAAGACTGTCCTCTTGTCAGGGCCGCCATCAGGGGGTGTGGATCCCATCGGGTGGCCGACACACTTAGGGCCAGCTGATAGGTCCTATATCTTCAGGGGCCCGGTCAGCGCTGTGGCCGTGGTATATTGCGACCGGGCCCCTTTTAAAAAAATAAATAAATAAGCAGCCGCAAGTGCTGCTGGGAGAAAGTGGTCACTTCCTCCCAGCTCACTCCGCGCAGGAGGAGTGCGCGCGCGCCAGTGAAGAGGGAGACCCAGGCAGTGAAGAGGGAGCCGCTCCGACTCCCATCATCCCCAGCCACCCTCTTGCAAAGAAAAGGTAAGAGACAGGAGGGTGGCTGGAAAATGAGCTGTGTCTGTCTGTATGCATGTATGTCTGTGTATGTCTGTATGCATGCATGTCTGTCTATGTATGTCTGTATGCATGTATGTGTGCCATTATGAATGTATGTGTGTATGGATGTCAGTGTCTGTATCAGGGGCATTTTAGCCGCGAGACAAACAAGGCATTTGCCTTGGGCGGCATTTTTCAGGGGGCGGCAAAAAACTGGCCTTGCGGCTAACTGGCCGGGCGTGCGGGCTGCTGTGCGGGCGGCTGTCGAGGGAGCTCTTCCTCTGAGCTGTCCGCTCAGCTCCCTCGCACACCGCAGAGTGAGGCTGGGAGCCGGAATATGACGTCATCTTCCGGCTCCCAGCCTCACTGCGGCGCGCGAGGGAGCTGAGCAGACAGCTCAGAGGAAGAGCTCCCTCGACAGTCGCCCGCCCAGCCCAGCCCGCAGCCACTGGACCACCAGGGAGATAGAGAACCCCCCCCTCAGCACTCCCAAAGGTAAGGGGGGGGTATATAAAAAAAAAGTGAGTGTGTGTGTTTGTTAGTGTGTCTGTTAATGTGTGTGTGTTTGTTAGTGTGTGTGTGTGTGACTGTGTGTGTGTCCGCTAGTGAGTGTCTGACTGTGTGTCTGTTAGTGTGTGTGTATCTGACAGTTTGTGTCTGTTAGTGTGTGTGTGTGTCTGTTAGTGAGTGTGTGTGTCTGTTAGCGTGTGTATGCGTATCTGTCAGTGAATGTGTGTGTGTGTTTTAGAAGGCAGGGCAGGGGGAAGGGTTGGGTGGGGCTGGTGCGGGGGGGGAGGGGGCACCTGAGTTTTGTCCTGCCTAGGGCAGCACAAAACCAGGATACACCACTGGTCTGTATGTCTGTATGTATGAATGTATGTGTGTATGTAGGTGTCTGTATGTATGTCTTTATGTCCTCATGCATGTGTGTCTGTATGTATGTTAGTATGTGTCTGTCTGTCACTATATATGCCTGTGTGTATGTCTCAGTATGTGTGTGTCAGTATATATTTCTGTATGCGTGTCTGTTTCAGTATGTGTGTCTGTTAGTATGTATCTGTGTCCTTTTGTATCCGTGTGCATGTGTTTGTGTCTGTGTGTGTGTATTCCTGTGGGCGGTAATTGGAGGCGGACCCAGTGGGCGGTATTTGGAGGCGGACCCCATGGGGCCCAGACCCTGAGCTGAGTTAGGGACCCCAAAATTTCTGGTGGCGGCCCTGCCTCTTGTAGTAGTTTTTCTTCTTCAAAATATAGCCTCCTTGTTTACTGTGTTGATTCCCTTTATGTATTTAAATGTTTCTATCATATCCACACGTCTCGTCTTTTCTCCAAGCCATACAAGGTAAGATCCTTTAACCTTTCCTTGTAAGTTTTATCCTGCAATCCACGAACCAGTTTAGTAGCTCTTCTCTCTCTCTCTCTCTAGTAGCCCCACCCTTTACAAAGTATCACTATCCTTCTGGAGATACGGTCTCCAGTACTACATACAATACTCCAAGTGAGGTCTCACGAGTGCTATGTACAATGGCATGAGCACTTCTCCCTATACAACCAAACATTCTGCTAGCATTTCCTGCTGCTCTATTACATTGTCTGTCTACCTCTTTGTGCATTTGAAATGTTGGGAGGTATGCTGTGACCTACAGTCATTTATTCAGCATAGATTAAAAATACGAGCTAGTGTTTTAGCTTCATGCAGCTCTCCTACAACCAGGGACGGTGCAAGGATTTTTGGGTACACAGGCGAAGATAATTTTGGTACCCCCATTTCACCCCCTCCCCCCCCAAAAAAAAATCTTCACCTGTGTGCCTCTTAACCCCCATTTGTTTTTGTGAAGGAATGCCCCATCACTTGGTTCGGTCGTAATCATTTTCCCCTGTTCGTATGTTCATACGAAACTCCCCGAGTTCAGTTCCTGAACGAAGACCACCCAACATCTAATCAGAATGTGGAATACAAAATATCCAGTGTGAAATTGCAATGGAAACTATTACTAAAACGCTCCTGGGCCATTTTGTGCACCGAACACAGGCAGCGGTACCTAGTCGTCGAGTGCCTGGAACTTATTTTGGCTAGGCATTCACGCGAACACTGGTGAATATGGAACTGCTGCCCGTTCAAGTTCCCGACCACCTACACCAGGCTTCCCCACACTCCGGCCCTCCAGATGTTGCTGAACTACAACTCCCATGATTCTTTGAATGAAATAGATAGGCTGAGAATTATGGGAGTTGTAGTTCAGCAACATCTGGAGGGCTGGAGTTTGGGGAAGCCTGACCTACACGAACAGCGTTCGGGAAATATAAACTACCAAATGGGGGCAGCATTCGACACCTAAAAGTGTTTCCATAGTATGTATGGTGTTAGTATTAAAACCCTTTAACTGAGACCAGCCATTGCCACGATTTCCCTGAACCTGTTTTGGGCTTTTACCTCGTGGACA